CAGAGCTGCCCAGACAATGGCTGACCTACATTTGTGCAGCAGCCAGGCGTCGCTCTGTGGTCAGAGTGAAAGCAGATTGTGTGTCCATCCCTTCCCACTGCAGGGCTGGGGGATGTAAAAATGCCAGGAATGGGACAGAGCGATGGTCAGAACGGGAGCTTTTTGGGCCAAGGGTTGCATAAATGCAAAATGGAGCATTGCAGGCCATGTTACTGCAGCATTGGTGCTTTTGTGGCTCAGGGTGTTGGGCAGCCGTGGAGCAAAAGCAGGCACAGGAGAGAAGCTGCACGTTGCACGGGGGTTTACACGAACGTCTGGGGCAGTCCCAGGTGCGGGGATGGACTTCAGAACTGAGAGCAGCCCTGCAGGGAAGGAAGAGCCTGGAGGTTTGGGTGGATGAGAAGCAGAGGCTGCTGCATCCCTGGAGGGACTCACGGCTGTGGATGGGGACCTGGGCAGCTGATGGGGGGTGGGACGGCCCAAGGCAGGGGCTGGGGCTGTGAGGTCCCTTCCAGCCCAACCATCCTACAGTTCCGTGATCCTTTAGGACCCTTCCAACCCAACCCTCCTATGGCCCTGTGATCTTTTGGGACCCTTCCAACCCAACCGTCTTACAGCTTTATGATCTTCAAGGTCCCTTCCAATCGAAACATCCTAGAATTCTGTGCTCTTCCAGGACCCTACCGTCCCAACCATCCTACAGTTCTATGACCTTTAAGGTCCCTTCCAGCCCAGGCCAGTGCACGCTGCTTTCAGAGCTGCTCTGGCCATCCGTTCCCCTCTCAGCACGGCTGCTCTGCGCACTCCTGGCCCGTCCCTGCAGCACTCCTTGTCCTTGCAGTGTACCACGCCATCTATCTGGAGGAGCTGACGGCAGTGGAGCTGACAGAGAAGCTGGCTCAGCTCTTCAGCATCTCCTCTCAGCAGATCAGCCAGATTTACAAGCAGGGTCCGACGGGGATCCACGTGCTGATCAGCGATGAGGTAACGATCCCTCAGTGCTCCTTTTTCTGCCTTTCATACTGCTTCGTGTCCAGCCTCCAAAGCACGACCTCAGGGTGGGCCCCTCTCATTTGCTGCTGCTTCCAAAGAGTTCACTGACGAAGCTGTGGAGCTGAGGATGTCAGACAGCACTGGGGACGCTGGCAGCACTCACGCAGTTCTGGAGTTGGGGGGTGTTGTAAGGGCACAGCTGTCCCTGCTGTGCTTTGCTGGGAGCAGGAGGGGAGCTGCTGGGAAAGGGCTTTGCTTCCAGAACACACGGCGGGGTTGGAGCACTTTGCCTTGGCTTGCTGGTTCACTGTGGTTCTGAAGCGATGGAGGAAAGGATGAGTGTTGCTGTGGGTGCCCTTCCTGCTCCGAGCCCTGTCTGCAGTGCAGCCCCGTGTTCGGGTGCAGCCTCAGGCTCAGCTGTGTTGTGACTTCTTTCAGATGATTCAGAACTTCCAGGATGAATCCTGCTTTGTTCTGGACACCATGAAAGGTGCGTAAGCGACGCGCTGCCCGTCCTCTGTGCCAGATCTGAATGCAGCAGATCACTGCCAGCAGTGTCTCAACAGCTTCCTTCTTTTTGCAGCTGAAACCAACGACAGCTACCACATCATCCTGAAGTAGGAGGGGACGGGATGAAGAACAGCCACAGTCCTCTCATCTCATGTGGATCCCCCTCACTTCCAGCACCAGGACATGGGAGCAGAGATCCAGAAGCTCCCATTGGCCTTTTCAAAACCCCAGAGCTGTTGGTTCTCAGCCCCTTCCTCACCCTTCCAGCTGCAAACCACCTGCGGGTGATGCTCTGCTGACTTCTCCACGTTGTGCTCTTGCATAGCAGTGAGCAGAGTTCACCTTTGGGACCTCAGAGCTGCACGAGGGCTTTTCGTGGCTCTGTTTTTCCAGAAGGCAGCAGCTCTTATGACATTTGGACTGGAGAGGGGATGTGAAGGAAACCAGCCCGGTGCTCCCAGCCCCGTGGAGCTGAGCGGGTCTGGAACGGACACGTGGAGCGGTAGGAGAGGGCTGGGAGGGATTTTCTTCAGGACTTTGGTGCGCTGTGATATTGAGTGGAAGTTGATCTGATGGGCTTTTTCTCCTACCCACCACCGTGGAAGCACTGCTGCTGTGTGCAGGCGTGCTGCCATCCCTCAGAATCACAGCATCCTGAGTTGGAAGGGACCCACGAGGATCATCATCCAAACTCCTGACTCCACACAGGACTTACCCAAAAGGAGCCTCCGCTGCTTCTCACGCTTCTTTCCCTCCCTCATCAGCATTAGCTGGCACAGGTGTGCAAAGCTGGAGGAGAACTTGGAGCGAAATGGAGCTGGAGAGAGAAGCAGCTCACGTGGTTCACCTGGAGGATTCTTTTCTGCACATTTTTGTGGTTTCGAGTGAAAAGGAGAAAGATTCAGGTGTCCTGGTTGGAAATCTGAAGCTGTATCTACATGTTTGCTACCTTTGCATCCTCCTGCCCCAGCTCTGAGGATGGAGGTGGGGAGGAGTGAGATGAGTTTAAGGGAGTCTCAGCTCGACTCAGTGGAACACTCAACAGGAGGCTCAGCTCAGTGTGAAGCTCAGCTCAGCAGGAGACTCAACACAGGACTCAGTTCAATGGGAGTCTCAGCTCCGCTCAATGGGAGACTCAGCATGAGGCTCAGCTCAGTGGGGCTCTCAGCTCAATTCAAGGGGAGGCTCAGCTCAGTGAAGACTCACCTCGACTCAAAGGGACGCTCAGCTCGGCTCAATGGCAGCTCAGCTCAGTGTGTGACTCAGACTGGGTCGGGTCAATGGGGCGCTCGGCCCGACTCAAGGCTCATCATGAAGCTCAGCTCAGCTCATCGTGAGGCTCGGCTCAGTGGACACTCAGCTCCTTGGGAAGGAGCCGGAGCTGCCTCCCTCACTCGGGGAGCCCAGTGCTCCCCCGTAGGCGTGGTTTGGTACTTGGAGGTGGGGGGGCTGCTGTGTGTTTGATGCCATTCTGTAACGCAGCCGTGGGGCAGCGGTAAAGTTTTGTACGGACGCTGTGGGTCTATGTGAGCTGCGGGTGGGAACGAGGGGGCAGCGGGCTGAGGATGGGGGGATGAGGGCGGTCACCCCTCGGTGCCTGCACGGCACATCTCAACCTGCTCGCTCGTTAATTAATTGGTTAATGAGCTAAGCCTTATGCCAAGGGGAGGACACTGGTGGTCTGAATGGTGCGGTGCGCTCTCTGCCCCACATCTGTCCCATTATTTCCCCTTTAAGGCGCTTTTTGCCGCTCCCCGCCGCGTTAATCTCCGTCTAGACTCCGGCGGCGGCTCGGGCCTTCGTCCCCCTCCTCCTCCTCTTCCTCCTCCCCCCCCCCACTGCTCCCCTTCCCCTCCCCCACGTGCCCCACGCCCACTTCCGCACTCCGTTTCCCATCACGCCCCGCTCGGACTCGCTTTCCCGACACCCCCCGCGGGCGGAGTTTGTGGGGTGGGGGGAAGGGGAGGTGAGGCCTGCCGTCACGTGACTGCGGGGTATATAAGGCGCGGCCCCATTGTTGTCGGCAGACGGCGGCGGGGCGGTCCGCGCGGCCGCACTCGGGCTTCGAACCCGCGCCCCGGGCCGCCCCCCGCCCGCAGCGCCGAGCGGTAAGTGGGGAAATGGGGGGCGGCGGGGCTGGGGGCTGCAGAGGGGGAAGGGGGGGGTTGTGTGGGGCCAGGCCTGAGGGGGTGGGGGTCTATAGGGGGGTCTACAGGGGGTCGGGACCCTGGAGGTGGACGCCTCTTGGGGGGGTGTGGGTGGTCAATAGGGGATGGAGCTTTGAAGATGGAGGCCTATAGGGGATCACGGGCCTGGAAAATGGGAGCCTGTAGGGGCCTTAGGAGGTCTGTAAGAGGTGAGGGTCTTAAAGGTGGAGGGCTGTAAGGGGTGGGGGGGATGCAGGGGGCTCATAGGGTTTGTAGGAGGACTGCAGGTTTGGGGGGCTTGGAAAATGGGAGCCTATGGGAGGTTATAAGGTGAGGGCTTTAAAGATGGAGGGATGTAGGGGAATGATGGCCTTGAAGATGGAAGGGTATAATGGGGCCTATGGGAATGCAGGAGGCCTGTAGGGGATGGAGGGCCTGTAGTGTGGGAGCCTATAGGGGCCGTGGGAGGTCTGTAAGAGGTGAGGGTCTTAAAGGTGGAGGGCTATAGGGGATGGGGGGGTGATATTGGGGATGCAGGGGGCTCATAGGGGTTGTAGGAGGCCTACAGGGGATGGGGGGCCTGGAGAATGGGAGCCTATAGGGGCTGTAGGAGGTCTGTAAGGAGTGAGGGCAAAAAGGATGGAGGCATAGAGGGGATGAGGGCCTTGAAGATGGAGGCCTATAGGAGACGTGCAGGGCTTGGGGTCTTGGGGATAGGGAGGCTATGGGGAATATAAGATGTCTATAGGGTACATATGGAGGCTTACAGATAACATAGGAGACCTTAAATATGAAAGTGTGTAGGGAGTGCGGGGGGGGGGGTCAGTTGGGAGGGGGTTTAAGAGGAAACGGTAGAAGCCATAAGAGGCCTGTGGGGTGGGGGGTGTGCATACAGAGCCTATAAGGGCTAGAGGAGGTGATGGCCTTAAAGAGGGGATGGGGGGCTCATGGCAGCAATAGGGGGCCTATGGGGGCTGAGGGGCCTTGAAACGGGGGTCTGTAGGGGGTGTAGGAGGCCCGTAGGGGATGGGTGAGGGAGATCTTTGAGGTGGCAGCCTATATGGGGCACAGGAGGACTATAGGGGGATGGGGTCCTTAAAAATAGGAGCCTGTAAGGGATGTAGGAGGTCTGTGGGAGGGAGGGGGGGGGGAGGGAGCTTGGAGATGGAGGCCTGTGGGGCTATAGGAGATCTTTAGGGGGTGCTGGTAGTAGAGGTAGAAATATATAGGGCCAATAGGAGGCCTGTAGGGAGTGTAGGGGGCCTTAAAAATGAAAGTCTATAGGAGGCTGATGGGGGCTGCAGGGGAGGGGGTCCTTAAGAATGGAAGCTTATAGGGGATGTGGGGGGGATGTAGGGGCCTATAGGGAACGGGAGCCTTGAAGAGGGGAACCTGTAGGGGTTGTGGGAGGCCTGTAGGAAATGTGTTTCCTGCAGGGGGGATCAGAGGCTTGTAGGGAGTGGGAGGTGTCTTAAAATGGGGCTCTCTGGGGAGATAGGAGGCCTATAGGGGCTGTGTAGCCATGCAGGGGATGGGAGCCTTGAAAGTGGGCTTTAGGGGCTATGGAGGGGTGCTAACAATGGGGCTGTGTGGGGTGACCCCAAAAAAGTGCCTCAGGTGGGAAGGGAGCAGAGGAGACCCTGAGTGAGGGACGATCGGGGCGGGTGGGGGTCCTCGGGGCCCTGCCATGGGGATGGGGTCCCTGGTGGGGTCTGAGCTGGGTTCTGAGGTCAGCCCCCCACCCTCCCATACTGCAGGGTCTGGTGCGACCCACTGTGGGGGCGCCTCCCCTTTTGCCCCCCCATCTTTGCTCTGGGGGGGGCTCCTTCCTTTAGCCCCCCTGTTTTTTGCAACCACCCTTTTGCTCCTATCGTTTTGGGCTCCCCTTCCTTTACCCTCCTTTCTGGGGGGCTCCCTTTTTGCTCCTCCCTCCTCCAGACCCGTGCTTTTTAGGACCCTGCCTCCTTTAGCCTCCCCCTACCTTCAGGGCTGCCCCTTTTTGTCCCCCTGCTTTTTGGGGTTGCCCTTCTTATCCCCCTTCCTTTTTGGGACCCCCCCTTCCTTTTTGGGACCCCTTTCCTTTAGTCTCCAGCTTTTTAGGACCTCCCTGTTTTTTACCCCCAGCTTTTTAGGACCCTTTCCTTACTCCCCCCTGCTTTTTGGGGCCACACGGTCTCCCCACACCTGCCGGCAGCGCTGCAGTTCGGGGCCGGGCTCTGCTGCTCATTGCGATGCGTGTTGTGTAAGTACTGCTGCTGTGGAGCTGCAGCCCAGAACATCCGTGGGGCTCAGCTGTAGGAACATAGGAACACGGATCCCAAAGGAGGCAGCCCTGGCCCCTGAGGAGGAATCTGCCCCTCTCAGCATCCCTGCAGTGGTGCAGTTCTTAAATCCTCAGCTGTGGGGATAAGAGGTGAATCCTGCAGGGAATCCTCTGTGCCAGAGGAGCAGAGCTGTGTCCCGTAGCCCTGCCAGTGGTGGCCCCCTGGTTTTCTGCTTTATTTGTGGGGTTGGACTTGCTGCTCGCTCAGTCTTTCCCGCCCTCGCTCCTCCCAGCAGCCCTGGGATGTTCTGCAGCACTTTGGGGGAGCAGAACCCAAAACTCCCGGAGCTGCGGCAGCTGGAAGGAACCTCCTCAGGTCCTCATCCAACACCTCCCAGTCTGCCCTAAACTGGAGAGCCTGGCGCCGGGCCCAGTGCTCCGGATGGGGCCTCCCCAGTGCAGAGCAGAGGTGGGAGCAGCTCCCTGCCCTGCCGGCTGTGCTCCGTGCAGCCATCTCCAGGGAACCGGTGGCCACCAGGGCACGCTGCTGGCTCATGGTCACCCTGTAGTCAACCACTGGTCAACCTGTTGGCCACCATTGGCTTTCTTGGCCGCTGGAGCACACTGCTGGCTTGTGGTCAGCTTTTGGTCAACCGTTGGCCAACTGTTGGTCAACCAGGACACCACTGGTGTTCTTGGCCACCATCAGCTGTTGATCAACCCTTGGCCAGCTTGGCCACAGGGCCGTAACTTCCAGCTCACGATCAACCATTGGCCAACCACTGGTCAACCAGGATGTCATCGGTCTTCTTGGCCACCAGAACTGCTGCCTCACGGTCAGCTTTTGGCCAACCGTTGGTCAGCCGTCGGTTATCCAGGACACCGTTGGTGTTCTTGGCCACCAGGACGCACTGCTGGCTCACGGTCAGCCGCTGAGCAGCGAGGACACGGGTTGCATTCTTGGCCAGTGGTGCACACAGCTGGCTGGCAGTCAGCAGAATGAAGCCAGGCTCACCAAGCAGCTCTGCTGACAGGTGAAGGTTTGGAGCCTGGCAGCGGGATGCAGAGCATCCCTCATCCTGCAGCCCTGTTCCCAAGCTGCAGGATGTGGAGGAACGAATCTTTTCAGCTGAGCTCCTTTCAGCACAGTTTAATGGAGGGAAGGAGGAGAAGCGCTGTTGGGTGGCAGCAAAGCTTTTGGTGCTGAGCTCCACGGGGAAAGGAGCCGTTTTCCCTCTTTGATCCGATTCCCTCTCACTGGAAACAGCGGAGCCGTTGATGCCACCAGCCCAACTCCAGGCTGCCAGCTGAGTGAGAGCTCCGCTGTTCCTGCAGACCCTGGGCACTGTAGCGTTGCTGCCAGTCGCTCTGTGCCTGGAATGCTTTCCCAAGCTCTCCCTCTCATTTTGGGAGAGGAGCTGCAGCCGGAGCCCGGTGTCAATTGTGTCCCTACCCCCCTTTGTCACACCTGGGTTGGAGGTGGCAGCGCGAGGAGGTGCGCAGGGAGATGAAGGATGGATGGGATGGTGGAGGGATGGACAGACAGATGGAGGGGTGAATGGACAGACGGACGGATGAAGAATGGATGGGGGGAAGGATAGATGGACAGGAGGATGAGGAGATAGATGGGCTGATGGAAGGATGGGCAGAGAGGCAGATGATGGATGGACAGACAGATGGAGGGATGGACAGATGGATGATGGAGGGATGGACAAACGGGCAGATGATGGGTGGACAGAAGGATGAATGAATGGGATGAGGGAGGAATGGACAGATGAATGTCGGGTGGACGGAAAGGGGGAGGACTAGGATGACAGAGGGATGGACAGACAGACGGGCGACGGATAGATGGATGATAGGATGACAGAGGGATGGACAGACAGGAGGATGGACGGACAGAAGGGCGAATGGAGAACGGCTGGGCTGATGGAAGGGTGGACGGATGAACAGATGATGGATGGACAGAAGGATGAGAGCTGGAGGGGGTGGATGACGGACAGACAGACGGACGCCGGCAGCTTTCTCCAGAGCCGTTTGTTCCGTTGCCATGAGAACCGGCGCTGCTGCGGCGACGGCACAAAGCGGAGCGGGGCCGAGCGCCTCGCCTTCAGCTCTGCTGTTCCCCCTCTCCCCAAATCCTGCAACCCAGCGGCGTCCCCACGGCTCGGCTCTGCTGCTGGGCTCCGCTGCGCGCTGACGCCGTGCCACGCTCCCACGTTTTGGTGAAGGAGATGCAGAGAGCGGCGAGCTCGGCGGCTTTGCTCATCCCTGCGCTGCCGAGCTGTGCTGCTCTGGGTAGGGGGCACCCCTGGACCCCCACCACCACGGTCCCCATCCCGCAGGTCCCTGCTGAGCCGGGCGGCCGTTCCTCCCCCCCGTGCACCGCGTGCCGCAGCTCCATGCGATCCCGATGGACGCGATCGCGAGCGGCCGCCTCAAGAGGAAGTTTGAGGATGCGGACGTGGGATCCCCGGCGTCCAACTCGGATGATGAAATCTCCAACAGCGACAGCGCCGACAGCTGTGACAGCGTCAACCCCTCCAGCTCCAGCGGCTTCATCCGTGAGTGGGATGGGGACAGGGATGGGTTATGGGGTGTGGGAATGGGAGTGGGGATAGAGTGTGGGAATGGGGGCAGTGGCTTCATCTGTTAATGGGTTATGGGGACGGGGATGGGGATGGGTTATGGGGCGTGGGGATGGGGTGTAGGGGTGGGGATGGGATGTGGGGATGGGGACAGTGGCTTCATCCATGAATGGGTTATGGGGATGGGGGTGGGTTATATGGGGTGTGGGAATGGGGTGTAGGGATGGAGATGGGGGCAGTGGCTTCATCTGTGAGTGGGGTGGGGATGGGTGATGGGGTGTAGGAGTGGGGATGGGGGGATGGGGATGGGGGCAGTGGCTTTTTCCCTGAGTTTCCTTGGGAACGTGGAGAGCAAACAGTGACAGAGTGAGGGGATGGAGTGTGGGGACTGAACAGTGACAGTGAGGGCATGGCGTGGGGATGTGACACGGGGACAGCAAATGGTGGTAATGAAAGGTCTGGGGGTGAGAGATGGAAATGGGGGTGGGCACAGTGACGATGATGGGACGAGAGCGGGGGACAGCAAAGAGTGGCAGAGTGAGGGGACGTGGATGGGGACATGGGATAGGGATAAAACATGGGTACAGCAAACGGTGATGGGGAGGGGACAGGGTATGGGGACAGGAAAGAGTGTCAAAGTGAAGGGGACAGAGCGTGGTGACAAAGTGAGGGGACAAGCATGGGGACGGGACATGGAGACAGTGAACAGTGAGTGAGGGGACAGGAAACAGTGACAGTGAGGGGATGGAGCACAGGGGATGGGGACAGACGAGGGGAGAGGGCGTGGGGGTGGGGACAGACCCTGGCTGTGAGGGGGTGCTGGCCTTGCTCCCCCCACGCACGCCCCTCGCAATCGCATGCCTTCATCCTCAAACCAGGATCCCGCTGGCGCCTCCCCTACTGCAATACCTCACGATAACGGAATTAACGAGGCATTGGGATTAATGGGGTTTGTCCTGACAGTATCAGAAGGAAGCACGCAGCCCATGCTGGCACGGCTCGGTTGCCGACGCCTGCTCAGGGCTGCAGCAAAGCTCCCTCCCACCCCAACCCATTGCACCGGGAGGCGCCAGGGCTCCCGTTCCCATTCCCTCGTCCTCCCTCCTTGCAGCCACCTCCATCCTGAAGAGGCAGAAGCAGCTGCGCAGGAAGAATGTGCGCTTCGACCAGGTGACGGTGTATTACTTCGCCCGGCGCCAGGGCTTCACCAGCGTGCCCAGCCAGGGTGGCAGCTCGCTTGGCATGGCCCCACGGCACAACTCGGTGCGCAGCTACACGCTGTGCGAGTTTGCACAGGAGCAGGAGGTGAACCACCGCGAGATCCTGCGTGAGCACCTCAAGGAGGAGAAGCTGCACGCCAAGAAGATGAAGGTAGGATCGGGCATCGCCCTTTTTAGGTGCTGCTGGGTTGTGGTCGACCACCTGTCAGCCGTTGGGCAGCTGTTGGGCAGCGAAGATGCCCTGCTGGCTTGTGGTCAGCTGTTTGTCAGCTGATTGTCCGCTGTTGGTCAACCGTTGGTTGACTGCCTGTCAGCTGTTGGTCAACAGTTGGGCAGTGAGGACACCCTGCTGGCTCTTGGTCACTTGTTTGTCAGCTGATTGTCTGCTGTTGGTCAACAGTTGGTCGACCAGGGCGCGCTGTTGGCTCACGGTCAACCGTTGATTGGCTGTTGGTCAGCAGTTGGCCAATGAGAACACGCTTCTGGTCCACGATCAGCCACTTGTCAACCATTGGTCAGCTGTTGGTCAAGCAGGGCGCACTGCTTGCTCATGGTCAACCATTGGCCAACCGCTTGTCAACCGTTGACCGGCTGTTCCTCAACCACCGGCCACCCAGAACATTGTCGGCCATCTTGGCCACCAGGGCGCACTGCTGGCTCCTGGTCACTCTGGTCCTTCTTCACAGTTCCCCTTCCAAATTTCTCTGCTGGAAATTCCAGTCTGGAAGGTTGTGGTACCTGAGATCAAATCCCAGCTCAACCCTTTTCCCATCCTGACCTCTTTATGGGTTCCCTCAGGCGTTGTCTGGGGTTGGGCTTCATTTAATGTGACACAACCCTGGGATTAATCAGGCTGCTGCTGCCATGACAACGTTTGGCGGAGAGATGCAGAGCCAACACTTCTTTTTTAAATCTTTTGTTAAATTGAACTTTTTCTGCCACTTAAGCTATCGATGGGGAGCGCGTTATGGTTGGGGTGGTGATGGGGATCAGTCCCCACGTTTCTCATGAGGGTTCTTGCTGCTTCCCCCCCTCCTCGAAACGTTTCTGTTGCGATTTCTAGCTTCGTTCCAATCCCAAACCCTGCAGCTGCCTCTCAGCTCTCTCCAAACCCCAATATTTTGGGAAGCAGTGACCTCCTTTTCCTTGAGCCGTTTGCAGCACGGAGGGAAGGAGGCAGAGGTGCCCTCCTGAGCGCTGCGGCGTCGCTTTCCTACCTTTATTGCAGATGTGGGGTCCCGCAGACACGGCGCGCTCCTTCCTGCTGTGTCTGGGATGGGTTGGGGTCGGACTGGATGATCTCAGACTTCCAAACTTAATGATTCTGCAGCACGGGGGACCCCGCGGGTCCCCTCACGCCGTGCCGGGGGTCCGCAGCCTCCCAGCACGGCGCTGAGCGCTGACCTGACCCCGCAGCTCACCAAGAACGGCACGGTGGAGTCGGAGGAGGCGGAAGGGCTGACGCTGGAGGACATCTCAGACGACGACATCGACGTGGAGAACGTGGAGGTGGATGACTACTTCTTCCTGCAGCCCCTGCCCACCAAGCAGCGGCGGGCGCTGCTCCGTGCCTCCGGCGTGCACCGCATCGACGCCGAGGAGAAGCAGGAGCTGCGCGCCATCCGGCTGTCGCGAGAGGAGTGCGGCTGCGACTGCCGCCTGTACTGCGACCCCGAGGCCTGCGCCTGCAGCCAGGCGGGCATCAAGTGCCAGGTGAGTGACGAGTGGCAGAGGGCTGCAAGGGACCTCGGGGGTCCTCTGTCCAACCCCCAGAGCAGAGGCACAGCACTGGGGCAGGGCAGGTTTGGATCTCTCCAGAAAGGAGCGCCTCCCTGCTCTGCTGGCCATGTGCCGCAGTGCCCCCAGGGAACCTTTGGCCTTCTTGGCCACGGGGGCACACTGCTGGCTTGTGGTCAGCTGCTGGCCAATGTTACGGCATTGGCCTTCTTGGCTCTGAGGGCCTTGTGGTCAGTTGTTGGCCAACCAGGACGCGCTACTGACTCACGATCACCCTGTGGTCAACTGTTGGCCATGAGGTCACGCTGATGGCTTGTGGGCAACTGGAGGGCAGATGGAGGTTGGATGTCAGGGAAGTTGTGTGCTGTGAGAGCGGTGAGGGGCTGAACAGCTGCCCAGAGAGGCTGTGATGCCCCATCCATCCCTGGAGGTGTTGGAGGCCAGGTTGGATGGGGCCCTGGGCAGCCTGGGCTGCTGTGAAACGTGGAGGTTGGTGGCCCTGCGTGTGGTGGGAGGTTGGAGCTCCGTGATCCTGGAGCTCCCTTCCAACCCAACCATTCTGTGATTCTGTGAACTGTTTGCCAACTCTTGGCCAAGCAAAAACCCATTGGTATTTTTGGCTGCTGGGCTGCACTCGCTGGTTTGTGGTCAACCATTGGCCAAGAGCAGCCCGCTGGTGTTCCTGGCCACAAGGGCACACTGATGGCCTGCAGTCAACCATTGGTCAACCACTGATCACCCATTGGCCAACCAGGCTGCCGTTGGTGTTCTTGGCCACCGGGGTGCACTGCAGCCCCACCATCACCCATTGGTCAACCGTCGGTCAACCCGTTGGCCGGCAGCACGCAGTGCTGGCTCGCAGTTGCCCTGTTGGCCTCTGCAACTTCATCCTTGGAGCTCCTTCTCCGTTCGGGGCGCTGCGTCGGGCCGGAGGCAGAGCAGCGCTTCCCGCAGCCTCGCTGTCCCCACAGGTGGACCGCATGTCCTTCCCCTGTGGCTGCTCGCGGGACGGCTGCGGGAACATGGCCGGCCGCATCGAGTTCAACCCCATCCGCGTGCGGACTCACTACCTCCACACCATCATGAAGCTGGAGCTGGAGAACAAGCGGCAAAGCGCGCGGCCCGGCGACGAGGAGCTGCAGGGTGCCGGCAGCTCGTGGCCCCCCGGCACGCAGCCCCCCGAGACGCAGGACTTCCAGGAGTTCATGGCCGAGAACGAGACGGCCGTCATGCACCTGCAGACCGCCGAGGAGCTGGAGAGGCTGAAGGCCGAGGAAGACTCCAGCGGCGGCTCAGGCGTGGAGAGCGTCGGCGTCTGCATCCTGGAGGAGCCGCTGGCCGTGCCGGAGGCGCTGTGCCCGGGGTTGGCGGCCCCCATCCTCATCCAAGCGCAGCTGCCGCCGGGATCCTCCGTGCTCTGCTTCGCCGACGGCGCCGAGCAGCCGGCGGCCGCGCAGCCCTACTTGAACGCCGCTCCGCTGCTGTACTACCAGGTGGAACCGCGCTCCGCGCCGGGCCACAAGAGCGAGAACGGTGCCGACGAGCGCCCCAAGGACACCGGGACCGACGCCGCGGCCCCCGCAGCGCCGTGCAGCCGCGCCGCCCCGAGCAAAGGGGACGGGGCGAAGGGCGCGGGGCCGGAGGGCGCGCAGAGCTGCGCTGGGTCGCTCGGCCCCCCGGCGCCCCGCGAGGCGCCCGGCCCTGAGGAGCCCCCCCGGGGGGTGTGAAGCCCCCCGCCCATTATTTATTGAGGAGATTCCACGGCTCAGCACTGCCCCGAATGGGGAGGGAGGGAAGGGAGGAGGAGCGGGGACCGCCGAGGGAACGGACGGACAGACGCGCGGACACGGAGCCCATGGGGCTGCAGTCCTGCTTGGGGCACCGAGACGGACGGACGCACGGACACCGTGGGCCGCGTCCCCGCGGAGCTACTTGGGGCGCCCTGTGCTCAGCGGTGCCCGCTTCCCCCTGCTGCCCACCCAGGGCCCCTCCTCCTTTTTGTCTTGGACACAGAAGACTTTGGGGTGGTTTGTGTTTTGTTTTTGTTTTTTTTCGTTGTTGATTTTTTTTTTAATATTGTTATTTGTTTTTTTTTTTTTTTAATTATTCTTTTTTGTATTTTTTTTGTATTTGTTTTTTAATTATTCTGTTTTTTTAACGTGCTGAATGTTTACGGGGCCGCACTGCAGCCCAGCGCTTCCCTCCCCCCCCCCCCCACAGGGAGCCCCACAGCCGCTCCAGTTGCACAAAGAGGGGTGAGAACGCAGACACGGACGCTCCTGGAACCGCTCCGACCCCCTTTGCTCACCGCTTTCACCCCCAGGACCCGCAGCCGTCCGTCCGTCCCCAGGACTGCAGCCCTGCTCTGCGCTCCCAGCGCCGGAGCTTCGGGCTTTGCCATCTTCCTCCTCTCCCCCGGCTGAGAGCCCCAGAGACGGAACCGGGACCGACTCGGCACAGCGGTGCTTTTCTCCCTTGGGTTCGTTTTGCTTCCACGCTCTCCGCTGCCGAGGGGCTGCGACCCGTCGTGCCGCACCGAGGGGCGGCCTTGGGGCAGGGGCCGCCCGGTGTCCCGCAGCACCGCTCCGTCCCCACACTTCGGTCCCCCCAGCAGCTCCAAGCGCTTCCCCTGCCCCCTTCTGCTCTGTGCCCCCTCCCCGGGCGCAGTGGGTGCTTTCCCCCCCTCTTCCCTCGCACACCGCCGGCGGTTTTCATTTCTATTCCACTGTGAATCCAAAGCTGTGTCGGGTCCTCCTTGTTATTATTTTGGCTTTTTTACGGTTTTGTTTTGTTGGGTTTTCGTTTGTTTGTTTGTTTGTTTTTCCCCACGGTGAGAATGCTGTATTTAAAAAGAGAATATTTAAAGAGTAACAAATAAAGGAGGCTCCGAGCCGCAGGGCGCAGAGCGAGGGGAAGCGCAGCCGGGAGGGGGAGGGGGCACGGGGCACCGGCCTCAGCCACAAACGGGGCGGGGGGGGGGGGGGGGGGGAGAAATGTCTTTAATGAAGGGGGCTGGGATGGAGGTGGGGAGGGGATGGGATGGGGGTGGAATGGAGTGGGGGTGGAATAGTGATGAAATGGGGATGGGAGGGCGGTGGGGTGGGATGGAATAGGGAGAAGGATGGGAGGGAGGTGGGGAGGGGATGGAAAGGGGTTGGGGAGGGGATAGAGATGGGATGGGATTGGGGGTGAAATGGGATGGGGGTGGAATAGGGATGAAATGGGTGTGGGGATGGGATGGGGTGGGGGATGGAATAGGGATGGAAAGGGGGTTGGGATGGGATGGGGGTGGGGATGGAATGGGAGGGGATGGGGTTGGGGATGGGATGGAATAGGGATGGAAAGGGGGTTGGGATGGGGTGGGGATGGAATAGAATGGAGGTGGTGATGGGATGAAATGGGGATGGGATGGCGGTGGGGATGGGATGGTGGTGGGGTTGTGGGTGGAATAGGGATGAAATGGGGCTGGGAATGGAATAGGATGGGAGTGGGAGTGGAATGGTGACGGGGTGGGATGGGGTTGAGATGGGGCTGAGGATGGGGCGCTCCAGCGGTGGTGTCACACAACAGGCCGAGCCACGCTGCTGCTCCACTCCTTGCAGAGCAGCACGGAGCTTAACGAGGCACAGCTTAACGAGCAGAGGGGCAGAGCTCAACAGCGCTGCACCAAACGCGACGCCGTCACACCAAAACTCAACGACACCAACGCAGAACTGAGTTCAGAGTCAGAGCTCGATGGGGTCCATCCAGAACTCAGTGACCCCCGTGCAGAACTCGATGGAACCAACAGAGAAATCTACTGCTGGAAACGTGATGGCATCACATCAAAACTCAACGACACCAATGTGGAACTCGATGGCATCAAATCAAAGCTCAACACCAACGCGGAACTCGATGGCATCAGGGCAAATCTCAACTGCAATGCAGAAAATGGCACCAATGCAAAACCCAGTGATGTCGAGGCAAAACTCAACAAAAACCCCAAGAACTCAACGCCACTGCAGGACTTGAGGACATCAAAACTCAGCGCTGATGTGGGACTGGACATCAAGTCCAAATTCAGTGACATCAATGCAGAACTCAGCGATGTCAAAGCAGAACTGACGACGTCACATCAAAACTCAGCGACACCAAAACAGAACTCGATGGTTAACGCAGAACTCAGTGACATCACGTCAAAACTCGGTGACATCACATCAAAACTCAGTGACATCAGTACAGAACTCAACACCATGTCCAACTCAGTGACACCAACGCAGAACTCAACACCACGTTGGCCCCGCATCCTGAATGGGGACATTTGTACCCCCCCCCCCCCCCCAGTGCAGCGGTGACCCCCTGGATCCCACATGGAGCACAGGGTCCCATCCCCAGCCCCAAACCCTCTGTGAGGAGCAGCGATGCGCAGAGCTGAGCCCAGTCCCTGCTGGGGGGGTCGCGGGGTGGGGGGACGCCCGTTCCCCCCACAATAAACATGTAAAGTGCTGCAGCGGCCATGGGGGAACGGACAGAGGTGCAGGGCATCTCCCTGACGGGGTGCAGGGACGCAGGGCTGCCATCCTCCACTCTTCAGTGCCTCCCGTCCTGCTCCTGCTGACCCCCCCAGAGGTGGGGGGCACAGAGCAGCGCCACAGCAGACGATCAGCGCCGCTCATTGCTTCGCTCCTGCGTAGTTGAGGGACAGCAGCACCATGCTGTTGGCCAGCAGGGACGCCTCGGAGGCTGCAATGGGAGAGAGGGGGGCTGAGGGGGTCCTGTGCCCCATATCGAGCCCCTCAGGTCTGTTTGGTTTCCCCCTGTGTTGGGGGGGCTCAGTCTGTACCCACAGGGATCCCCTCCCTCAGAGCGGGTTGGGGGGGGCTGAATTCCACAGGATGATTGGGATGGGAAGGTCCTGAAAGATCTTAGAAGCAAAGGATGGTGGTGTTGGAAGGGTCCTTAAAGGTTCCAAAACCACAGATAGGGTTGGAAGGGTCCTGAAAGATCATAAAGCCACGGGACGGTTGGGTTGGAATGGTTGGGTTGGGATGGCCCTGAAAGGGCCCTGAAAGATCCCAGAACCAGGGGATGGTTGGAATGGAAGGATTCTCACAGCCCCCCAGTCCCAACTCGCACCCTGGGCTGCTCCCACCTCCCCAGCAGCCACCCTGGGCCCCATTCACGGCCCCGAGCCCCTCCGGGGATGGGGGACCCCCACCCCACACACACACACAGCTCCCTCCCCTTCTCCCCCAACCCCCCCGTGGCGCAGGGTCGCCCCCCCTCCCCCCGCACACCTTGCAGCACGCAGGACAGCCTCAGCCACTGCTCCAGCCAGGCTCTGCACTGCGCCACACTCAGCCGTGCGGGGTTCAGGCCCCGCAGGTAACAGGCCTGCAGAGGGGAGGAAGGGGGTCAGCACCCAAAATTCCCAACTGCGGGATGAGGGAGGAGGCCGGGACCCCCGCCAACCCCCAGCCGGGGGGTCTCTCACCGCTCTGAGCTCCTCCTCGGAGAGCTGTGCCAGGCCCAGGTGAGCCAGCGCGCGGTCCAGGTGCCGGATCTCCAGGAGGTGGGAATGCAGGCGGCGCCGCACCAGGACGGCGGGCAGCAGAGGAGTCAGGAACAGCACGCGGCTCAGCGCCCGCTGCGGGACAGCACGGCGTGGGGACGGGCACCAGGCATGGAGTGCGGGGGGGTGGGACATGGGGGCACGGAGAGGGGCAGAGAGCGTGGCACAGGGTGGGCATGGAATGGGACATGGGGTGTGGAATAGTACAGGGGACACAGCATGGAGCAGGGACTGACTGGGACAAGGGACATGGAATGGAGTGGCACATGGGATGGGAAACAGGGCATGGGACAGAGTGGAGATGCGGAGCACAGAGAGGGGCACAGGGCATGGCATGGGGTGGGGTGGGGATGGAATGAGACACGGGGCATGGAATGGAATGGGACACAGCATGGTGTGGTGCAGGGATTGACTGGGACAAGGGGCACAGCAGGGAGTGGGGATGTGGGGCATGGCATGGGACACAGAGCATGGGATGGTGCAGGGCCTGACTGGGACATGGGGTATGGAATGGAGTGGAACATGTAGTGGGACACAGGGCATGAGACAGAGTGGATATGTGGGGCACGGAGAGGGGCACAGAGCGCAGCATGGGGTGGGGATGGAACGGGACACGGCATTGCATGGAATGGGACACAGAGCATGGCATGGAGCAGGGACTGACTGGGACATGGAGCATGGCATGGAGTGGAACATGGGATGGGACACGGGGCATGGGACAGTGGGCACAGAATTGGACAGGGAATGGCACAGAGTGGGGATGGAATGGGACACGGCACGGCACAGAGAGGGGCACAGAGCAGGACATGGGATGGGACACAGCATGGCACAGGGAGGGGAACAGAACACGAACAGGGCATGGTGCGGGGCACGAGGTGGGGCAGGGATGTGGGGCACAGAGAGGGGCATGGAATGAGGCACAGAGCAGGACGTGGAGTGGAGCACAGAGTGGGGCACTGGAGCACAGCATGGAGCAGGGATGGAGTGGGACGTGAGCATGGCACAGCGTGGGGCACGGACTGGGACACGGAGGTGGGGCAGGGTGCTGAGGGGCATGGAGTGGGGCACGGGGTACATACAGCACGGGGGGGGGATGGAATGAGGTGGGGGTGTTGAATGGGGCACAGAGAGGAACATGGAGTGGGACAGGGGATGGCGCACAGGGTGTGGGATGGGGCCCAGAGTGGGACACGGGTCATGGAATGGAACAGGGCACGGGGCAGGAGACGGGACTGGGACACGGCGTGGGGCACAGGGTG